TGTTTATTCAAACGTGTAACCATCTGAGTCATTTATCAGGCTGGATGTGCATTCATCACTCAACTTCGTCGTTGGTTGGAAAGAATGCGGATAAAGGTACTCGAACAGTTTGATGGGATCAATAACGCGAAACTTCAGTTGTCGTTTTAAGTTCGCTCTTCAACTGACATCACGGAGTATTTCAACACCCCAAAAATATACTCTTTATAGGAAAAGAAAACGCAACAGTTCGTTTTAGCATCGTTTGCTTAATAGAGGTGGTTAACGATAACGTACATTAATACAATAATAAAACTGTTAGAGACGAGCAGCAGATCTTTTGTGCGAAAAAAAAGCGTTTATCTTGAAGTATACGTAAGAATAAATGTAAACTAATGAATTTTTTGTTTAAATAAATTTATCAAAATAAAATCACAAAGAAAAATCGTTTGTATACGATTAACATTAGGTTCAAAAGTATAAATGGCATTGAACGATTTTCAAGGCATTAATTATAAAAAGTATCATGTTTCTTTTATATTATTTCATATTGTATGATTTTATAAATATTACATATCCTTTATGATATTACTACTTTATATCATAATTACAACACGTATACGTATATATTACATTATATAATATAAAGTAATATAAAAAGAATATAATACCTACCTTAAGAGTATATATATATATATATAGTATTTGTAATATATAATATATATACTATAAACTATATGTGTTATACCACCATAGATCCTTTACATTACTCTAAAAAAAATAAATTATAATGAATGCACATGCAGTAGCGATTGAATTATGAAATCGATCCTTAGATTTTTAATCATGTTTATTCACAGTGACGCATGGTCTCGTTGGCTCTGTATCTCCTGCACGTTGCGGTGTCCCGTATACGCGAACAAACGATAACCTGACAGGTTGTGTAAACAGAATTTTTCCATTGTCACGCCGCGCCGCTTGCATTTGCTTCCAGTGAAAAGGGGCGCGTATGTGGATCTTGTCCCGTAATTCCGACCCACTTTAATATCCTCCCCTTTGTAGCCGTGGAAACCAATAGGTTTGCCTGTACCAGATATCACGCCGTTCGTAGTTCGAATCGCTTCACTTTTGTTTTTGTTCGTCAACTACGTCTCTCGCGCAATCACGGCGAACATAATGGATTTAATTCGAAACGAGCATTAGAAATGCTGTTTCGCATTTTCCGCGGTACACGGCTTCTCCCCGATAATATTGCACGCGCACAGAGTGGAGCTGCTGACGAGTGACAATTAAACGTACTTAAAAGTATTCGACGACAGGAAATGTTCTTAAACAAAGCGGAAGTGTTTGTTTGACGTTCGCTTTTAAAGATTCAGGGTTGAAAACTTTGTTTCGAAAACCGATCATAATACAGCCCGCGACGCTTGATTAAACGCACTCAAATTTTTGCTGTATTATTCTCTACTCGTTCTTAAATACGTATTATTATATATTATTGAAACAATATAAGCCTTATTCAGTGAATATATACGTACTTGTTTCTCTATCGATCTTTTATTTAGTCTGAAAATATTTATTCTTTACGGAAACAGACCAAAAAGATATCAGCCTGATTTCGATATCTCGAGATAATATTTTCCAGCTTATAATCCTTTCATCATTTTCAAATCTTTTACAGTAGAATTTTCAGAAATCGTTGCTAAAAGTGTATACTCCAAATGATTAATAATAATCCGTTAATAGAGTCGGTAGTATAAAGAAATAAAAATTTCATGCTCTTAATTCTCTTTGAATCAACATTTAATTAATCGCTATGAATATTTATTCCAATGTTTAATGCTCGTTAAAGCTTAATCATGTTCTGTCCCCTAACAGGCTTGTTTACTTCTAATCCTGCTCGATAATCGCAGCTAGTTATAAATTCAAGATGATTATCACAGAAACGCTGGAGAAAAGGAAAACATTGTACTCATATTGTAGTCGATTCACACATGTGAGCGATGTTTACATACTTCTCCCACACATTGCTAAGCGGTATACACCGCTTACTATACTGTTTATTCACTTGTAACGAACTTAACCGCGAAGGCCGTTGTTGCTGTACATACACTTGACAAACATTTTCGATCGATTTACGTGTATTACTTAGCAGCAATCGTCTGGTCGTATCATACACCTGTTATCTGTGCTTCCATTTTTATTACAAATGCGTACATCGGTGAGATTTCATCGCAAACACGAAACTGTGCTCGAATTGAACTCGTAACCGTTATTATTCCAGTCGAATTTAACATACAGTACATATAACAATGATAATATTTATATAATTTATTATAGCCTTTAAAAATTGTAAATTTTTCAATTACGACCGTTGTACTTGAAACATTTACTCCGTTTTTCGTGTGACTAGAAAATACTAATATTTTCTAAACACATTTCTTTTCTGAACAAGTGATGCTTCTTTATAACTGAACGCGAAATTAATCCAGTACACCTGAATTATTTCCTTAATACTTATAAATTAATATTATCACTACTTACACTTTACACGAATGATATACCGGACCTTGATACTGTTCGCTTGTTCTTCCTTTCGTCGGAACGGTGCAAGTGACTCGTATTTAAATTCCAACGAAATTCAGATATATAAAAATCAATAATATTACATGCTTATGGTACTAAAATATCAAGTAATAAAATAGAGCGATAATAGTAAACTTTGCTTTATGCGCGGTCACTGTCAGTCGTTATTTATTACATGCAGTGACGCATCCAGAGGGGTGGAAGAGGGTAATTTTAACCTAGGGAGAAGCAAAGAGTCCAACAAGAACGCTTAAAGCGTTCTCCAGTCGCCACGACTCCCTGGTGTTAAATAATTATATTTGTTCTCAACTATCGACGCTTAGGCACATTTCCTCGCCCTGTGCCCCTAGGATGCGCGTTGTACAACGACGCGGATGCCTCGTTAGGCTATTTCGCGTAAAAAGGAAAGGGTCTGCGTGAAAGGTTTCACCCAAAGGATTCCCCTAAAGTAAAAGCGCGGTAATTCTTATTATTGACGAGTGTATTGTTTTATTTCCACGTGATTGGCACATGTGCATTAATATATTCGTAAATATAAAATCCTGTCGTTCAATGAACCTCCTTAAATGGAACGTATTCTTTTCTTTTCTTTTTCAAAGCAACGAATGAAAAATTATTTAAGATAACCATTTTCTGTTTAGATGAAATACTGTACAATTCCTTTTTAGAAAATAAAGTAGTTGCGTAACGACACTATCGTAATATAATTTAGGATAATCTCACTTAATACCCTAACTAAAATAATAACGAACAACTTACTGTTAATAAGCTTATATTTACAAGAATCTAGAATCGTTTCGTTTCATCATAGATCACACACAGAATTAACTTAGTACTAACCAACAACTCCTATTTGTACCATTGTTACATTTATGAACGCAATTGAAACATGTTCGGGATACTAATTGTCCAGGGGAAAAATAATTCGATGAAACGTAAAAATCATGACCGCCCATTTGGTTATGCGAGTTTCATAAATTTATAAAAGGATAGATCAAAGTTTTGTTTACTCTGTCTGCAGCAATAAAAAGGTTCGTATTTGCAAACGTATTTACTAGTAGATCCATTTCTACTTAGAATATGCCCTTAAAGATTTATTTACATCGTGTGCGAATATACCACGAATTCTATACAAATTATAACAATGTATAAACGTCGAAATTAGGCTGTGAAGATCATGCGTGATACATTTGGAAGCATCCCCAAAATGATCGAACAAAATTAAACATGTTCAAGAATGTGCAACACGTTTATGAGCTACTTATGTACAGCTAGTCGATAACGTCTCTGTACACCTTACTAGAATTCCTTCAGCGTAGTGTAATTTCGACTCCGAAATGGATAAACGAACAACCCTCGCGTTATTTTACTTACACATTTAACATTTATTATTGGAACATGTATCAACAATATCGGCTAGAAGAGTTTCACCTTTGCCAATATCGATGTCATCCGACATTGAGATTTCCTGTACAATGGAAACGTAAACGCGGGGAGTCCTTAAAGCCACAACAAGTATATCCATTAATGATATATAATAACATAAAATATCATTGATACAGGGTGGTCCATTTAAACTAGGCTACCTGAATGTCTTTCTCAATTGGGATGGCGCAGAAAATAATTTATATGCAATATGAATTGGCTAATTTGTTTTGCAAAATATCATTTCACTGTAATACGACAGAAAAAGATATGCACTTATGAGAGGAAAAACATGTAACTTTGAAATCCTGGAAAATAAAGAACAAAAATTTGTTGCGGTTTATTAGCTCATTCGTATCATTCGAATTTCACAAAAAAATATATTTTCTATCGTTACAATTGGAAGAAATATTCAGGTGGACTAGTTTAGGTGGACCACCCTGTATACGATATCAAAATTGATACAAGAGCAGGCTTGATTCTTGTTGTTATTTCACAAGCCTGATTTACCTATTACGAAACGAACATCATTTATTTACATTTTTCCTACCTACAATAATAAATTCCATGTATCTAAATAAAATAACGTAAACGAGAACTACTCATTTATCACTATCGAATGAAAAATGACACAGCCCTGAAATGATTCCAGTAAAGTGCACGGGAACTCGTTTCACCCGACACCTTTCGATGTCTCGGTTCGATACGGATTTCTATCTAAAAAATGTTACAATTACGCTATGCGAACGCTCTCCCGCTGACAACAGAAAATTATTAATTCTTAGAGCGACGAAGTTCGATCACAATGCATACGTTTCTTACGGAGAACAGGCAATCGTAGTCATAAACCGTAATCAAATAAATGCCATCGGACGTTCGTCGTACGCATTACAAATGCTTATAAAGATGACTTCGATACGAAAGATTTATTGCACACGACTTGAAGAGAATCCGACTACTATGTTAAAAAAAAGAATACAACGTATTTACAACAATGACCCACCAGAAGTCCGTAACAACTTATCATCGCGTGTTATTTCAATGAATATTATCCTCGTGCCTTTGAGATTTAGCCTTCGCTAAATACAAGTTGCCTACGTAAGTCGAGGACGCACCAACATCCAAATAGAGAAAGGCAACGTTAGCAATGATATTTGCGTGCGCACATCTTCAACGAGCTGACCGTGCTCCATAGGCGTCGAAATAGTTCTACGATCATTAGCGCTGCAAAAGTTCGATGTCGATCGGAATATCGATGGCGTTGCGGTATTTCCCTTCGTGAAACTTCAAATAATACCTTTTCCCTTTTGATGCTGCTTACCCAGAGTCGCGTCAGCCCTGTTTCGATGTACTCGGTGCGTTCGGATCTTGTCCATTATTAGGCTGATCTGAAATTAATATATTTTTATGAATGTCTGATGGTCTAATTACGGATGGTTTGATCTCTGCGCGAGGCTGGTAGCAATTTTATATTGCACTAGCTGTGCGTGGAATATCATTCTTATTCTACAATATCTCCACCCCAGCGTCATCGTGTCCAAATGTTGCCACAGACTTTCTTTTTATTTAAATATTATATGGTGCGAATTTCAGCCAAATCGGACCACGAGTAAGAATTTTCGAAAAAGCGACACCTAAGGGGGTCTAACACAAACAAAAACAATCCTCAGTGCAACACGATCATATGGTGTGAATACAGGCTGTCCCAAAAATGTTGGAGTTCCTTGAAAGGGATGGTTCCGGGGGGTGATTTGGAACAACTTTTTCCTTAGCGAAAATGTTAAGGAGATATTAACCCTTGGCTTCGTTAAGGAGATATTAACCCTTTGCGCTCGGGTGGCGCCTCTAGGGCGATATATGTAATTTAAAAGTGATTTTGTGAACGTACAATTTCAAATTCACTTACATCAGAATACAACTAATTATTAATTGAAATACATACAACTAATTATTAATTGAAATAATAATACATCGAGTCACGAACGTTCGTAGATGTTTTCCTTCGAAGTAGAGTTTCTGGTTTCACAGAAATTTATTATAAAACTGGACTGGATTTGATTCTATAGAAAAATGCCGGTGGAGCGGCCGCAGTAGTATAGGGTCTGTCCTAGACAGCCGCGCTCGTACGATACCGCGGGCGCTCCACCGGCAAATCTACAATGCCTAATGTTTCTTTAGGTTTCATTTCTTTGGAGCTCGAAGTGTCAATAAAATGATTGTCGGCGAGGTAAAGGTGACCTTATTCTCAAATCTAGATAGCTTAGAATTCATGGCAATCGAATGCTAAGAAACATCTCGAGTTGCTAGCGGATAGCAGAAAAGTAGACCTCGAGTGCAAAGGGTTAATATATCTCCTTAACGAAGCCTCGGACAACATTTTCGCTAAGGAAAAAGTTGTTCCAAATCTCTTCCAAAACTCCAACATTTTTGGGACACCTTGTACGTGTGTGTTCACATGGCTGTCAACACTACAAAATAATTTTAAGAAGTTTGTTCGTTAGTTCAACACGTCTATACTTTTATGCGGAATACAAATCCTTAAAAATAAATCTTGTTCTTCTGCGCGTATGTTAATAACCCCTTAAGGTAATTTACAATTTTCGTTTTTCACCTGTATTCGTGGAAAGCTCGTCGAAACGGTCCGGCAAGTCTAATATTCCGGTTTCGGCGTGACGTCCCATAATATTCGGCAAGGCATTCCTTCTGCCAGTTCTTCCGGTCGTGAGGAACTCTTTCGCCCCTTCGCCGTTTTCATACGAGCCTGGAGTCACCGAACCACTTCCTGTGGGGCCGGGATCCTTCGCGTCAGGTACATTGCCGATCTCATCGGGACTGATTGGTCCCGAACGTCTCGGCGTTAGCATCTTCTTCAACGCTGCGAACAGATCAGAGTTATTTTAATTGTCGCGTTACTCGTACGCGTTCTTAACATGGGATACGGATTATTTATTTGGCGCTAGCTCTATCGAATATTTAATATTTCGATGTTCAGATTTAGCGACGTTAAATCGATGTGTACAATAGTTGGACGCAGCATTCGTTTTTAAAGCGTAATATGTTAGTAAGCTGTGTAACAGGATTCGCGCTGATAGGTGAAGGCGCACCCTAGCGGATAATAAATGCTCGAGAGTCCTCGGTGCGCTATGCATACAGCTGATAGTATAGCGAACCTTTCAACAGAAGTTATTACTTTGTAGCACAGTAAACGACCCTTCCATTAGCCTAACGCTGATAAGGGAAGTACGCAAACTGTAACACGAGTTTCCGAATGAAACATAGTAGAGATGATGATCGTCATTGACATGTGTTTGATATTTGCGATGCACCTCACTGTGGTGGATTTACACCGCAATATAAACAAATTGATCCTTGAGTAAAATAATTGGTGGGTTGGTAGGTTAGGTGGTAGAGTAAAACTGTCTAACCAGGCTTCACCTAATCAGGAATATCCTTTTCGATGAGGGAAGAAAACTAGGAGAGTCCCTCTCCTTGAAGTCATAGAAAGATGATCACCATGGAGATTATTACGTTCTACCATCATAAGTTTGTTCATCCTAAATGCATACAACTCTAGGCTCTTGAATTCGATATTTTCCTTAAAGACATTTTTAGAAAAATGTTTTGAAAAAACTTTTTCCCTAATATAAAATTTGCTACCATTTTTATGTTAATATCCCGTAGACGCCGGGATGTTTGGAGGTCGATCGGGAATTACTTATATCAACATCAGGCGGACCAAGCACTTGTGAGAAACGCGCGGTACACGTGGTGTCCCTCTAGCACTAAAGACAGATTTATTCATTTCGAATAAATTTGGTAGAAATTTGTGAGCCATGTATGTCTGAAATAAATAAGTTAAATAAACTCAAGCATTCAAGTTTCGGATTCAAAATTATGCTAGTGTTAGATAAAAGCAAACCGAGCAGCATGATCGGTAGTATTAGTTCGCGAATGTAAAGCAAACGATATCGGTTCGAGATTAATGCAAATGCACGAGAGTTAGAAAAAAAAGTCTGGCACAAACACTTTGAACAGAAGATACCTTTTGCACGAATAAGGTGCTTCCTTCGATATCCTTTAAACGTCGAATAACTGGAAACCGCATGGTAATCTGTCCCTGTCGGCGATGAAGCGTCGTCATCTCGCAAGAGTTTGCGCAGCTTCACCTAATCGAGTGTTTTTCACATTACAAAACAAATCACACGATAAGCGGGATTCACGGTGTCAATCTTTCGTAAAGAAGGCTTAGGAGAGCTGCGAGTGACGCGCAGTGAAAGGCAACGACCTGAAAGGGGCATATACACCAGCGAGCGTGAACAAACATTGAATTTTAAATCTTTAAAAAGTGTGTATATGTCCCCTTTAGGAAGCAAATTGTTTCAGCCAGTTTAAAGATACTTTTGGTAACGATTTTGTTCAAATTTAAGACTGGTCTTGGTGCGACTTTAAATCAATGCATTTAAAAAAAAAAAAAAGAGAAGAACGTAGAGATCATTAATTTGAATATATTTTGTAGTGTTCCATTTTTGTACATTTAATGATATTAATAATAATGAACGAACAAGCATTTAATTGCCGTTCGAGTCAATTCGCAACGACGTTGACGGTCATCTACGTGTATTTCGATCGAATTTCGCCAACTTCTCGACACGAAGGTTTCCTCCTCGAGGACAGGAAAGACGAAAGTTCCTGCGCTATTTTTAGCGGGTCAGGTGGTCCTTTATGCGGTACGTATTCGTATTGAAACAGAAGAACAATGACTGCACGCTCAAAAAGCTCTAGTTTAGAAGAGGAAGCGTTGAATCGATAAACAATAAACGAGATGGACAATTATAACGAGGACGGTAATAGCAATACTCGTTGATTTTCATCGATCTGGTACCGAAAATTTGTACACTAGATGGCGAAAGACCGTTGATAACGAGGGTGATTGTATAATTAATTAAAAAGTTGTTTGAATTTAACGTAAAAGAAACGACGCTACTTCCCAGTCTACTTTAAATAGAATTAACTATAAACAAGTTTTATCGTAGGAAATTCAAAACATAAAAAAAAAACTCCTCCCTCGAGAGGCTAACGTACTTTTGCGTTATGTTTAAAAATGTTTTAGTTACTGTTTATTGTTGATACGGATCTTGGAGCGGTTCTTAATCTTTATGTACCTTGTTACATGAAAAATATGAAAAATGAAAAATTGGACGAGGCAACCTCCCTTTCCCCTGCTTGAAACCTCCCTTTCCCCTATTCTAATAAGAAACATTAACCAATCTGACCCTATAATCGTATTAGAGTAAATTTGGAGCCAATTTAGCACATGGAAAACTTTGGTGGCGAGCGTCGCCATCGAAATTCGATAAATAGCACCTGGCGAGGAATCGGAGCCAACTCGGAAAGCATCAACGCTACTATTTACTTTAGAACAATAATCTTCGGTGTTTCACGCCGGCATAGCTTGGCCAAGGAAGCCAATCAATAGTCTCCTGACGATAACACCGTACAAAATCCATTCGAGGAACACCAACCGAACCTGAACTCCCAACAACAGGCACATTGCATGATGCAAAGCGTGACATTTTTTCTCCTGAGCTGTACCGCTTCGAAGTAAAATCCCTTTTCTTTTCTTGTTCTTCATTCATCGAGGCAACGTTCACGAGGATTTGAGAAATTATAAACAGCAGCAGAAATTTGAAATTGCCGTCGAAATAATTTAGACGGAAGTTGAGCTCGTAAGGTTTAAGATCGATTCAGACTATACGACACGTTCCGGCAACGACACGTACCGGCACCGACACGACAAAACATTAAAACACGCGTTTTAATGGAACTATTCACACTATTCCCGTTGACGGAACGTTCAAGTCGGTGTCTGTCAAGTGCGAATAGTTCCATTTCCATAGTTCCGTATTTTAATGTTTTGTCGTGTCGGTGCCGGTACGTGTCGTTGCCGGAACGTGACGGTCCGTGTCGTATAGTCTGAATCGACCTTTACTCGGAAAGAGGATTTTCCGTTCGGTAACTTTGTTATCGAATACCGGTAAATTGTAAACTCAGAAAGATAAACTAGCGCAGCTCGAGCCGTCTCTAGACGAAGATAGATGGATCTGAGCGAACAGCACATTCGCGAATACCTCCGTAGTATGTAATCATAAACATCCGATAATTGTATCCACAAACCGCCCGTTAACCACTTCAATAATTGAATACGAACATCGCACGTTGGTTGCTGGCGTGTACAATCTGGACGTTAGATACTCTGTTGCAGCTTGTATTATTTTCAATAAATCCGAAAATCACTTTCTGAAATAAACGCTCTGCAGTTTGTATGTTATTTATTCATTTTCAATGCAAGAGCACGATTTCATTCTCGCTCGGTTACTAGTTCAACAGTAATAATTAGACCGCGGATCTTTATGCATTTATAGGAAATTCGAATATGCAAGAAACTACAAAATGCAAACAATATGCAGGAATATAAAAACAATTGAAAGTTAAGTTCGTGTTATAACATTTGCAGAATAAAATAAATTCCTATTTACGTACGTAACAAAAATTAGCACTGTTGAGTTATATTGCTAGCGAATATACTCCAAAAAGTTTTCGATTCGGAATGGAATGACTCAGCTATGTATAAACTTATATTAGGGCTGGAAATGGGTATATTAGTACATATACTGGCAATGGTTGCCAACTTCTTGGCTATTTGCTTGGATTGCTGAGAGCTGAGACATGTTTTTGCAAGTATGTCGCTCGATTGTTCCCCCGGTATTTAAGCGCAGTGTGTTTATTTACACGTGGACAGCCTTCCAAGGGGCGATTCCACGTGCCAAAATAAGAAGAAAATCAGGGAATAACAAACTACGTTTACAACATTTTTATTTTCTGATCTATGAGAAAAGTATTTATAATATATACAATTATTACAGATTAGAAAATATAAATTGCTCTGAAATACACTGTGCTTTCTATTATTTATTTGTCCGAATCGTAGCATTTTTATATTAAAAGTAAAATTTGAATATATACAATGCAAATATTTACAATGCAATCAAAAGTATTGTGACGAAGGAAACAGTTTCGATTTGTATCGTAAAATTCAAAAAGCTTGTATTTTTCTTTTTTAGAAATAATGTGTTCTTATTATTTTTATTAAAATAAGGTTATTATTATCATTATGTTAATTACTATGAAAATACAATGCTTCCAGCTTGAACACTGAAACACTGAAGTACATGCTACGAAACAACGAGAAATCAATTATTCGTCCAAGTATCGCTGACGTTTCTCCGTTTTTCTACAGACTTACTCATGCAACAACCCTGAAAAGACAGTAATCGATTCGCTCGGATCCTCCGCACTTACGCGGTTGCAAGAATAGAGAAACTGAATCTTTACGTCATTGTCACGTGCAATGACGTCGTGAATTCGTCTACGATTCAAGATACTCGAGCGTACGATTACACGGGACTCAAAAAATTAATTAGCGGATCAATACCTCGCTAAATCTCTCGGAGCAGCGTTACCTCTCAGCTTGTTATTCGTAAAATGCGAATTGTCATGTAAACACGACGTCCACTGGGTAAACGAGAACAAAATGGTAAGAGAAACGGCAACCGGTAACAGAAGAGAAGAGAATGCGAAAAATGATAAATGACGGACAGACGCTGGCGAGCGAAATTTCTATCCGCATACAAAATTTGAATAACAAGTAAAATAAACTCGTCAAAGAAAAATAAGTCGTGGTCCGATATTCGTTAAATTAAAATTTGAATTCGGTGTGTGTAATGAAATTACACATATTTTATGAAATACATAAATCTCTGCAACAGTTATATATATATATTGTTTTGATACAAATGCACCTATATATATATATTAAAATAATAACAATTTGTTTTGATAATTTGTATATATATACACATGTATATATGTATATATTTGTGTTGATAATATGTATATATATACATATATACCTATACATATATAGGTGCATTTGCATCAAAACAAATTGTTATTATTTTAATTATTATCATTCACATTACAGAATAATTACAGAAACTAGTATCCTGATTTTGTTTCTTAAATTGTACGCCTTAATAACAGAATATTAAACAAGTGTTCTTTTACTAACATTTCACGAAATATAAATCCGCGCGTATCGCATTCCGAATTTTTTAATTTTCTCCATCAAGCGCACTGTGCGTTCTCTCAATTAAGCGGTGACTAATAAATGAGCCGAGTATTGCGTGACAGGAGTACGCAGCAAGCCCGGACGCATCGAAGCGGAACGTTTACTGAAAAAAAAAAAACTTAAGACGCACTTCCAAAATGCGGAGCACTGGCGAGCGCAATAGACAAGAATAACACGGCTGACGCGATAATCGACCGCAAACGACTACGACATGACGCGCGACGTTAGGCGTGATTCATAAACTCACCATCGGGATGTAAATAGGGTTCGTTTTTCTGTGTGCGTAGTTCGTTATCACTGTGCACCGTGCAGGCCAACACACGCGTCTGCAGTCGGATGTCCACTGCCAGCGTGGACGCGACACACAGCGTGCACGCCGGTTGTAAACCAGCCGCCCGCGAATCGATACTGCGCGAGCGAAGGCACACAGCCGTTTCACGAGAGAAGAGTACACGGTGTGCACGATACACGGTACATTCGGCACAGGTGAGAGTACGACGGTCGCGATGGTCAGTCGTGCTCGAGAAATCCTTGCCGAACGTTTTTTCTTTCTTTTTTATTATTATTATTATTATTATTATTATTATTATTATTATTATTATT